TTGGCCCGATCACATATTTAGTAGCGGGTATATTCGTAGGATACCTTGCCTCTACAGCCATGACGATGACGAGTGACCGCAGATTGAAGAGGAGAATTCAATCTTGGCCGCTTGAACGCATCAAAAGTGTGCCCGGTATCTTCGCTATCGGCGATGTGATCAAGGGCGCCATGCTGGCCCACAAGGCCGAGGAGGAAGGCATCGCCTGTGTGGAGAACATTGCCGGCAAGCACGGCCACGTCAACTATGGCGCCATCCCTGGTGTCATCTACACGTTCCCCGAGTTCGCATCGGTGGGCAAGACGGAGGAGGAGCTCAAGGCCGAGGGAATCGAGTACAATGTGGGAAAGTTTCCTATGATGGCCAACTCGCGTGCTCGTACTATCGCTGAGGCGGACGGCTTGGTGAAGGTGCTGGCCGACAAGAAGACGGACAAGCTGCTGGGAGTGCACATCATTGCTGGCAACGCTGGCGAGATGATCGCGGAGGGAGTGATCGGCATTGAGTACGGCGCTGCTAGTGAAGACCTGGCGCGCACGTGCCACGCCCACCCGACGCTGAGCGAGGCCTTCAAGGAGGCGTGTCTGGCGGCGTTCGACAAGCCTATCAACTTCTAAGACGAGCGAGAACTGCTCGTAGTAGACTTGGGGTGACGGAGAATTGATAAACCTAACGTGTATTGCGGCAGAGTGCTTAGCGTATGCACAGGTTATATATGTGGCTCTCGTGCATCTTGTTCAAAAAGAAATCCTCCTTTTTCTCCTTCTACTACTACATTCCAGTAACTGCTACTATTAGTAGTACTACTGCTTCTTAGACTTCATGTACCTATGTATCAAAATTACTAAAGTATAGTATAGCGCATCGAGCACAGGACAACACATCTCGTAGTATTTTGCATAATAGTAGTATGCTTCTCTTAGAGCTACATGTATTAGTTTTTTATTTTTAATTTTACAGTAAAGTGCATACTGCTGCATCATGCAGTCGACATACAACAAAGTTTGCACTTTCTCCAAAGCAAGTTCTGGTACTGTATGCAAAAATCTCGACAATTAAAGCTTAGACTAAGTAAGAACTTAGTACTATGAAAAGATGTCATTTCTTAAAAAGCAAAGAAATACAATTTTCAAAAGGCTCCTTACATAAAATTGTTGCAACACCATGCAAAACAAGATCCTGTTTCGTGCGCTAAAGCTAAAATGCGCGGAAGAAAGCACTACATGCAGATTGGGTACGATGCAAGCGTTTAATTTGAACGCAAGATACCAACAAAAACAAAAGCGAATTAGCCATGACCACACTCGAGTTGAATGAAACCTGTTTTGAGCTCCACCTCCAAACCCGAAATTGACAGTGAGCTTACTGTTAATTAAAGTAGCACACGCCAAAGCAGAGTTCAATGTCGTGAATAAAGGTCGACGAGGATTTGACAGACTTTTCGGCATGTCCATACAGCTCTTCAAGCTGTCCTCCCATGATAACGGTAAATCTCCTCTACGCGAATGACGTAGCTCAATCTTTCATCCAATACTATTAATAATGGAGTTTGCAAAGATATATACAGCCAATGTCGCTACGTTGACTCCCCTCAACGAAAACCGTTAAAAATGACGACTGGAGAATCGATAAGTGTGAAATGAACGGCGGACCGACAAATCCGTGTCAAATGATGAAGAGTGTTGGTCAAGTGGTTGAAGTTGTGTAAAAGTTGTGTACAACAGCCACGTGGCCCCTTTGATAGCCAAGTACAGTGCCCGTCGTTAAATCGCAGCTTGTAGGATATAGTTGCTTTTGATAGCTAATAATTTGCAGCGATCAAACCCCTCTCCTTAGCTAAGTCTACCATGCTATAACCTGAGATCGATGAAAGTTGTCACATTGTTGATTAAGGAAGGCGATAAGCCCCGAGACGCTATCCACCTCCCCATGTAGCCTCGCGAATGGGTCCGTACGTATAGAGTCCGTAATGCGTCCGTAGAAGGTAGATACGGCCTTAGCCCCGGCCCTCCAAAGCCATATTTAGACGGACGCCCCTGGTAGTTCGATGAAAGTTGTCATATCGTTGATTTAAGAAGGCGATATACCCCGAGACGCTATCCACCTACCCATGAATCCTCGCGAACGCGTTCGTACGCATAGAGTATGTAATGCGTCCGTAGAAGGCAGATACGGCTTTAGCCCCGACGCTCCAGAGCCATATTTGGGCGGACGCCCCCGACGGGTCGATTAAAGTTGTCATATCGTCGCTTTGGGGAGCCGGCAAGCCTCGAGACGCTATCCACCTCCCCGTGTAGCGTCGCGAACGGGTCCGTACGCATATAGTCCGTAATGCGGCCGTAGAAGGTAGATACGGCTTTAGCCCCGACGCTCCAGAGTCATATTTTGGCGGACGCCCCTGGTAGATCGATGAAAGTTGTCACATTGTTGATTAAGGAAGGCGATAAGCCCCGAGACGCTATCCACCTCGCCATGTAGCCTCGCGAATGGGTCCGTACGTATAGAGTCCGTAATGCGTCCGTAGAAGGTAGATACGGCCTTAGCCCCGACGCTCCAGAGCCATATTTGGGCGGACGCCCCCGACGGGTCGATTAAAGTTGTCATATCGTCGCTTTGGGGAGCCGGCAAGCCTCGAGACGCTATCCACCTCCCCGTGTAGCGTCGCGAACGGGTCCGTACGCATATAGTCCGTAATGCGGCCGTAGAAGGTAGATACGTCTTTAGCCCCGACGCTCCAGAGTCATATTTTGGCGGAAGCCCCTGGTAGATCGATGAAAGTTGTCACATTGTTG